TATTATCTAATTTTAAAAATAAAAACGATAACGCAAAAATAATATTTTATAAGAAAATCTTTTATTAGAATTAATTATGTTTTTATTGAGTTAATTGTGTTTTAATTATAACTTATGTTTTAAATAAAAACTTAATTAATTTTAATAAAAGATTTTCTTATAGAATATTATTTTTGCGTTAACGTTTTTATTTTTGAAACTTGGTAATATGATTTTAAAATTGTTTTTCTTTTATATATATATATATATATATATATATATATATATGTGTGTGTATGTATATATGTGTGTCGTGTGTATACTATATACTATAACATAAATGTTTTTCATGTTATTGCGAGGAAATGTTTCTCCGTAAAATGTTGGATTTGGCATGCGATCGTGCAACAACGGGGATACGGATAAACACGCGGATGAATAAGGGAACCGTGAAAAATACGCGCATTTCGAATATTGAACGCCGCCGCGGCGAGTCGTGGTGAATTGAGAGGAATACATATTGCATTTTCGTTTCGTACACGGCTTATTAGCTGCATATTTGCCCGGAATTACCGATCGTTTCCCGCACACAGCCCAGCTGCATAATATTTCCATTTGTCTCGATCACAGTGACAAATGATTATGCAAACCTCCCCCTGAATTAGCGTTACAGGGTTCGTTTAAACCGTGTTCGAATTATTCTGACCAGTATATTCGCCGTTAAACGAGCTTCTCGATTCCGATGCGCGTTTTCGAGGTAACGCGGATCGTTTGAGCCTGCACGTTAAGGCGCAGAAAAATTATGAAAATGTAAAGCGCCGGCTAACGAAATATAAATAGCCGTGATTTCGGCACGTTGCGATATGAAGAAAATAGATTGCCCCGCCGCAATTTACCGCGTCTTAACTTGCGTGAGTGAAATGTGCTTGAATCCTTTCCTTTTATAAATTAATTTCCCTTTCCGCGGAGAAAGATGATCAGCCACTCGCAAAGATATTAATTATATTACTATGACAGTTGTGATTTATGAATTATTGAATTGTTTGTCTCTGACAATATGATGTGAGAGAGCCAACTATTAATTATTTTAACCGTTATAATTTTAACTATTATATTATTTTAATCGTTACAATTACTATTTAAGGCTCTTGTTCCTTCGCTACTACTGTTTCACATTGTACCGTCAGAAACGAGAAAAAATACATAATAATAATTCTTTTGTAAAATATATTCAAATAAAAATATTTTTTCAATAAAACGATATTTGCAATCGATAGAATGGACTTATAAAAATATACTGCAAATATACTGCACTGTTTTTTTTTTGTTTTGGGGGGGAATTAAATCATGTTTATTTCTGTATGACTGTATTATTAATTTTTGAGGCAGTTGTCATATATACCTGTGAACATATTAGTTCATTTCGTTTTTAGTTACGCATAATTCATTTTCAGATTATTTATTAATTAAGAAAATAAAAAAATATTGTTATAGTTGGCTGTATTGATTGCAAGTGTTGTTTTATTAAAACATATTTCCATTTTACTATATATATTTTGCAAGAATTTTTATGCTGTATTCTCTCGCTCCTGACGTCATAATCTGAGACAGCGGTGAGCGAACAGAAACCTTTCAATTTTAAACAGTCTTGTCAAGAGTGACTATATAATTACTTGTAAGACTTGAGAAACGCACGAGAGGAACAAATTAAGATAATTTGGCGAGAATTCAGAAATTATCTGACGTAAAATTATTATATCTAACGCTAAAGATGAGATAAACGACGGAACACGCACGGGTACGTACATGCGGTATTTAGACATTGTATTATTAAATGACGATTTATGATAATCAAGTTTATAGAACTGCAACAAATATAAGAACACATCTGCGACGATGTTAATTTTAATTATAATGTAAATTTGTATGATAGCTGATGATGGCTAAGTAAGCGGAAACGTTCCATCAATTCTTTAATTATTAAAATATTTTTTATACTAATTAATCAACCAAAATTGTGCTCGTTTATTGGCCTAACTCTTTTTCTATTTTATTATTTTATACATACGAGCGATAATTATTTTTTAACTTGATTATTATATTTGTTCAAGTTCGCATCATCGTGCGCAGCGTTCTCTTGCCTTTTTAATTTCGCTATCGCG